GGTCCCGCTCGTGCCTGCGCCGGGCTGGTCTCGACTCGCCCCGGTTTCCTGCCAGCGTCTCAACGAAGGATGGGGCCGGGCTCCACACCAGCGCCGGGTGCCCGGCCCCCGGCCGGAGGAGAGGGGCGGTGGGGACCCCCCTGTTTCCTCCCCTCGGGGCGGGAGGGAAGGGACGATGGCGGAGGGGACCCGCTGCCGCCCTGTCGAGGAAACGGCTCCTCGGGAGGTTCCTGCTGCAGGAAGGGCCCTGCCCCGCGGCTCAGCCGGGATCTGCGCTGCTGCCGGATCCGGCACGGCCTGCCCGGGCAGGGGGGTGGGATCCCCATTAGGGGGGTCACCTGGGACCAGTCCTGCCTTGGATTTTGCCCCCCTCCTCCCCACCCACGGAGTCCCACTGGGGTCCCTGTGCTGGTGGATGCAGCCCAAACCCTCCTGACATGGGGAAAAAGAACAACCGGTGATGCCGACACTGACGGGGAGCAGATGGGGAGGAAAATGGGGCAGGGAAAAGGGGGCAGAGTCCCCCAAGCACCCCGCAAGGTCCCGGAGGACAGGCAGCTGCGCTTTGGCCCCCGTTGCGGAGAAGCAAACCTCGAAGAGGCTTCGTTTGTCGTTAAATAAACTTTATTGTTGCATGGAGAAGGGTGAAAGGAAAATAAAATTTCTTCCAAGGATTAAAAGCAGCAGGTGGGGAGGAGCAGCTCGGCTCTTCTCTCCCCTCTCTTCCCGGAGGCCATGGTGATGGGTGGGCTCTCTCCGAGCGGGAGATGCTCGGCCAGCCCCAGCCCCCGCGGTCCCCCCGAGGCGTGCAGGTCCCTAAAGGCACAAGTGTCACTTCGCCCCCTCCCCGCACGGCTGCCGACACCTCCCCGGAGCAGGCCAGCTTGTGCAAAACCCCCATGTAAAAAAATACCAGTTTTTCAGTATCGAACATCCTAAAAAACTAGAGCTTTGATCAATGTCAGTTATCCACACCCTTGATTGGAAACTCGGATTTACACCCTGGAATGCCGCTGGGTTTCCACTGGGAGGGGATGTATCAGGTTGGCACCAGGAGGGTGACTGGGAGTGTCCCCAAGTCAGTGTGAGTGGGGGGACGGCCCTTTCCAGCCCCCCTTGCTCAGCCCTGGGTGGGCAGAGGGTCCCTCTGTAGGGCAGGAGCACCCACGCCCCAGCGCCCAGCGGGCTCCCTGTCCCGGGGGAGGGCTGGGTGCAGGATCAGGGCCCGGGCAGGGGGGTCTCCTGCTGGCCCCTTCCCCTCAGCGCAACGAGAAGCCCCGGGCGGTGTCGAGGTCAGTCCGTGGCTGCTACGGGCTGGGCTCCGCACTGGCCTCCACCTCCAGCTTGCGGCGGTACCTCTGCCGGCGCTCGCAGCGGGGACACGGCTTGGTGCCGGCTTGGCAGTGGAAGACGGTTTTGCATTTGCTGCACCTAGGAGAAACCAAAGGGAAAAATAAAACACCTCCCTGTTGGTAACGTCAGAGCAGAGACTGAACTTCTCGCCACCAAACCAAATTTGGGGACACTTCCTTGTCTCTGTTTCCTCCAAGTGCTTGCTGAACAAAGAGCCCTGGCTCCAGCTCGAGCTCAGATGAACCCTGCTAGCAGGAGCAGTAACTACTTGAGCAAAAGATCCACCTTTAGCAAGCTCAGAGCAAAAGCAGCAGCTCACCCGGAAACAGCGCTGCGGGCAGCTGCCAGCACGCTGCCTTTTTTTTTTTTTTTCAGATGAGACAGGGCAATGGGTGAGGTTCGCACCTCGCTTTTGAAGCGGTGGCAGCACAGGAGCAAAGTTTCAAGGCTGAGACACTCAAACCCTGCGATGGCAGAGAGCCTGGCTGGGGACACGTTGCTGGCGGGGCTGGGGTGCAGCTCAGTGCCGGAGTGCGGACCCTCAGCTCGCTGGGGTTGGGGTGCAGCCGGGAGCCCCCCAAGCCTGGCTGCAGGGCTCGGCCATGGCAGGGACACTGTGTGGGGACATGGAGCCGCAGGGAAGGGGCCAGGCAGCTGGGGACGGCGTTGCCTTTGAGCCGGCCGGCTCTGGGGAGGGTTTGCCAGCGCCCGCCCAGGACCTCCCTGCTCTGGCTCAGCGCCGCGGCAGGAATGTAAACAGCCACGGACGGTACCTTGTGTGGGGCGGAGGGAGGAGACACCCTGCTCTGCCAGGGGCGTTCACGGCTTCTCCTGAGTCCACAGAAGAATAGGCCGTGCTACCAAGGCTGAGCTCCCAGGCACAATCCCCCACCTCGCCAGCAGCAGCAAAATGCAGCCTGTCCACATGCCAGCGGGTCAAGTGGGTTATTTTTAAAATGCCTGCAAGTGCAAATACCTGGTGCACAACTGACGTGTGAATGCCACTGAGTGCCTTAACTTCCCAAAGGACCCGTGGAGAGGGGCGCAGAGAAACACCCAGCAGCGCCAAGCCAGGGCCCGTGACATATCCCAGCCCCGGTCAAATCCTGCTCCTGACAGGCGGCTGCAACCCCGAGTCACACAGGCCACGGAAAAGGGTCGTGCACGGACAGACAGGGTGGGGGGTGCTGCCTGGCGCCGGACATTTCCCCAGCGGAACTATTTTCACGTGGCTTCTCCGGATTAGCAGCGGCAGTGGCTCCTCCCTGAGCGCAGGGTGGAGGGATTTGCAAAGCCAGGGGCTGGTTTTTACCCTGCGTGTTTCTGAGCGAGCAGCAACCTCCTGCCTCCACCTGCCAGAGCAACGGCTGCAGGAAGCGGCCGCTGCCGCCGTGCGAAGGAGAAGGTCCCGTGCCCGGCGGGGCTGATTGCGAGGTTATTGTTAGAGGTGTTTCAGACGCATCCTGCAGCGAGGGGTGGCGTGACCCTGGCAGCTGGCTGTCCCGCGGGGCGGGCAGAGGGGCAGGAAGCCGGGTTTAGCTTGGCGAGGATGTTGGTTGAGCTGCTTTCCTGCTGCACAACCTCCTCCACCAGGGAAAAATAAAAAAAAAAGAGGTTAACAAACTTCAGAGCCTAGCTTTACAGGACATGAGACCTCCGGCTGGCTGCCAGCAGAGCTCAGCCCCGCATGCCTGCTCCTTCCAGAGCCCGTATGCTCTTTTTTGAGGGAAAGTCAGTCTCCTGGAGATGTCCTCGATAACAATCACAATCCCTGCGGCAAGGAGGGAGAGTGAGCAATCCTGCTCAGCTGCCACGGAAATATTTGCAACCACGTAAACAAGGTACACAAGGATCGTGGTCTCGGCGTTTTCTGCAGCTTTGGGATGTTGCTGCTCGTTTTTAGGGACCGCCAGGCAAAGCAGGAGCACACAGATCATCAGCCCATTAAAACTTCTCTGCCAGGATTATACTCATTAGCGAACAACCATCGAGATGTGGATCCCTCTCCACGTACAGGCTCCTGGGCTGGAGGAGTTTGATGCTGATTTCTTCAGAAAACCCTGACGGTGGGGATAAACACCCCCCTCCTAACACCCATCTGATGTCAGCGGCTGCTGAGCCCTGTGCCTGTGAAGGACGTGAGCTCTGCCGGCAGGAGAAAAATCCAGATAAAAGCCAGTGTCCCCCGTCCTGCTGGGAACATCCGCAGCCTCTCCCCAGCACGTCCCTAGGGCTGCTCACCGTTTATCTCCTAACCCGTGTCCGTGTGTCCTTCCTCCCCTCCTTGGTTGTAGAGGGGTGTATGAACAGTCCTGCTGCTGCTTTTCCTTCCCTCCTGCAACCCCTGGAAGGGGCCAGGCTGAGTTTGAATGAGAGATGTGGTGCCCAGGAGAGCGAGGCAGGGGCACCTTCATCCTCCTCCTCCTCCTCTTCCCCCTGGCCCCTCTGCTGCCCTGGGACTCAGCACCCCGTGAGGCCTTTGCAGGCTGACAGCAGGGTGCTGGGTGGCTCTGCATGTTCAATCTGCAAAGCCAACTCTCTTGGTGATATCTCGGCTCTGTGAGCTCCTTCTCCTGCCCCAAAACAGCCCAATTTTGGCTCGAATTATCTTGGGGATGGTGAGAGCCATGAGGAGGTGGATGACACAAGCACATGGGTGTCACAAGGACATGGGTGCCATGAGGACACGGATGCCACAAGGACATGGGTGCCACGAGGACGCACAACCAGCTCAGAGCTGTTTCCAGGTCACCCCAGGGCTACGTGCCTTGAAAGCAGACAGCCCCCATGAGGGACCCAGGGGACAGTCCAGGCTCCGGGGAAAAGCCAGGGCAGCCTCGCAGCAGCCGGACGTGATGGAGACATCGCTCACCTGGTGGTAGTGTCAAACTCGAAGGGAAAAATGATGTCGCTGCTGTTGCAGATCTGGCAGATGAAGCCACGCTGGGTGCACAGGTCACAGTTGTAGACGTGATGGGAAGCAAACTGGAGCAGAGACTGCAGGAAGGTCTCGAAGACGCCGTCAGCGATCTGCAGGGCAGAGACAGGTCAGGCAGGCACAGAGCTCGGTCTCCCACCGGGTTGCACTGTGCAAAATCCACATTACACCCATTCTTTGAGCTGCTACGTGAAGACAAGGCTGTCCTCCAAAACCAACCCTAAACATGTGCCTGGGTCACAGCAGGACCCCAGAGCAGCACTTACCACCTGCTGGGACAGGGCTCCCAGCTTTGGAGCCCATGCAAACTCCAGCTACCCATCACCTCCAATGTTATGTGCAATAGATACAAGTTTGTATGAAGACACGTCATCAGCAATGCTGGCTTAAACAGAGGCAAAACACTTTATCTTGCCTGGTCTTCGTAGTTCTTGGAGGATAGGTTTGTGCCAGTTATTTTGGTAAATTAAAATAAAATAAAGGCAATTATCTGCCTTTATGTTGATGTGCAAGCTTGCAGAGTGCATGTGATGGGTGAGAGCAAGGCAAAAGGAAAACAAAGCTGTTTGAAACCTTCTGCTGCTGCTGATAAAGTGCCATGCTCGACAGAAACCAGGATGTTTTCATCAGCAAATCCCCAGGACCACACAAAGCTCTCACCTGCCTCAGATCAGCGACGCTGTATTTGTGGGGACACTCCAAGAGGTAGTGCCTGTGATCAAGCCTGCAAAGAAGCACAGAGAGGAAGATGGTGGATGGTTTCCACTGTATCTCCAATGGCTTTGGAGCACAGGGGAGCCTGGATGATGCAGACTCTTGAAGAAAATCACTGTAAACTGGATTTTTGCATCATGCCACACATCCCAAATCCTGCCAGTGGAAATCATGTGAGAGCATTTCAAAGGAGGGGAAAAAGAAAATAAATCTCTCATCTATTTTCCCAGGTGTTTCCTGTCCAGCCAGAAGCTCCTCTATCAGGAAGGTGTTTCCTGAGTCACATCTCAACCAGCCAACAGATGGACAACTCCTTTCAGCAGACATGGAGCTAAAAACCAGCCCATGCCTCGGCAGCACCGCTCCCCGCTCCAACGGCGAGCGATGAGGAGGACCAGGAGACCACTGGGGTGCAAAGAGGAGGATGCAGGGGTAACGTCACCCGGAGAGGGGCCTCACCGCTTGCTCAGCTCCTTCAGGGCTCCGCTCCGGCACATGATGAGATAATCTCCCATCAGCTTCAGCTGTTCCCTGCTCCGGTGGATCCGGCCCATCCTCTCCACGTGCTCGTAGAGGCTCTCGTTGACCAGCTTCAGGTCGATCAGTGGCTGGTTACGGATCTGGGTGAGGAACTTCAAAGCCTGACGGCAAACCTGGGGCAGAGAGAGGCAAGAGGTGGGCATGCACCAAGGAGCAGGCTCGGAGGGAGGCGCAGGGTGGACATCTCCACCTCTGCTGGTGGTGGAAACATTCAGAAGGACCTTCAGGAAGCGTTTCCCTGCTCCCTGCACTGACCAAGCCCAGACTTACCCCTCGTTTTGTCAGATCCCAGTTGTGGATGAGGCGCGAAGGAATCACCGTCTCCTCGTCCCGGTGGCAGCTGTCGCAGTAGTAGAGGCCGGAGAAGGCGCAGAGCTTGGGCTTGGTGAAGGAGAAGCCGATCTGCCTGGAGCAGCCTGGGGGGAGCCGAGGGGAGGCAATGAGAGGGGACCCACGCTGCCTGTTCCCCTCACCACCAGGATGGGGGAGAAACTTTTGGGAGGGGTGAATGGGGGAAGGAAAGTTTTTGGAAGGGTTGGAGATCAGCTAAAGTGATGGTAGGATGTTCAGTCAGAGGTCCCCAGCCCCTCCCTGCAGGCGAGGAGCTGCGACTTAAGACCACGATGGTCCAAAGGAGTCTGGACTATCCCTGAACCCACTTGAATTCATCAAGTGGTTCAAGTTTCCTTTTTTTTAGGAAAACATCCCAGTGGTTTAGGGAAGAACCTAAATCCCACCTGCCTGCCCCATCACTTCCACCAGTAACTATGCCCCGTTTTGCCTTCACTCAGCCTTTCCCTTTCCCGCTGCCGCTGCAGGGTACCAAAACCACACTGCACAGGATCCTTGTCTGCAAGGGGTGAGGTTGGGATGGATTAAGGCAAAAACCTCCTTTATTATAGCAGTGGGTGAGCCAGGAGGAACCCAGCTCAGGCCTTGGGGGAAATCTGCAGGGTTTTTATAGTGACTTGAAAGCGAGTGCATCTCACTGGGAGTCGGGAAGGCAGGAAAACCCTTTGTGCTATTTTTAATGGGTTCAGTTCTCTAAAATAACTGATCATGCATAAGCGAACCTCCATCATCCTCAGGGAAGGCTTTACCACCCCACCCCTCATGCTCTGCGGTCACTGGACCGCATCCCATAAGAAAAGTTAATGGTGGTCAGGTGTTGCTCTTTGAATTAATTAAAAAAAAGAAAAGAAGATTTTATCGCTCATTACACCCTGACACGTAAAGAAATCACTCCTGCATCAGACTTGGGTGTCAGGGTGGGAGGGAGGTGAAAGCGGGGCAGGCAGCCTGCTAAGAAAACCTACACGTAAAAACTGGGAATTTGTCTTTTCAGCTTGCTGCCTCCATCTGTTGGTAGGTGGAAGATGCAGGACAGAGCCTGGAGGGGAAGGTAGAGACCAAATAGAAAGGAAAAAAAGAATATATAAAAAGAAGAGAGATTAAAAGAAAAAAAAATCCAACCTGCTGGAGGGTACAAAAAATACAATTTAAGGAGGAGAGAAACCTGAAGTTTAATTAACTTACAAAGGTAAAGAGCAAATTATACCTCCTGTGGAGGTCAGCGAGTGTTATCCTATTAAACCAGCATTGCCCCGCGTGCTGAGAGGCGTTAGTGGAAGGTTAAAGGAATGTTTTGCAAAATCAGCTTGTCACACCCATTGCAATGTTCGCTCCTGTGCTGCGTTACCGGAAAAACAGCATCTGCTCTTGATTGCGCTTTCCCCGCAGGTTGGGGCCACAAAATGCCCAGGAAGAGAGTCCTGGGCCTCCTGGTCCATCTAAGGTTGCCTTCAAGCCAAGACCCACCACTGTCTGTACCATAAACATCTTAAGGAGGAGCCCAGTAACAGCCCAGCTGGACCTGTGCTGGGCTGTGCTGGGGATTCAGCATGGGGGGACTCACCAAAAGTGCCACCAACTGGGGACGGGAAGCCCCAGTGAGGGGCTTTGCTGCTACCTGGGGTTTGGGTGGGGAGACCAGAAGCTGGTCTGCAATGGGTCGGCATGACTCAGGGTGCCTCTAATTTGATGTCACCTTGTTAACCTGAATGAACACAATGTCATCCTCCAAGATGATTCTGGATTTTTGGCCAAGCCCACGTGTACCTGCACAGATGAAGCTCTGCGAGTCCAGGCCTTTCTCCATGGGGATGGCCACCAGGTATTGCAACAAGAAGCCGTTTTCCTTCACGATGTTCTTCAGGATGACCTGGGAATGCCCGTCCAAGCTGCCACCCAGCGTCAGCGCCTCCTCCGCACTCTCCAGGTAGGACATGAGCACCCCTCGGACCAGCTCCCTCCACGAGGCCGCTTCTTCTGCATTCTCAGCCTGCAGCTTCAGGACAGCTTTGGAGGTGATCACCTTGAAGAACGCGGGTCCCCCAAGGCTCGTGTCTGGAAGGATGTCCTGGATGGTCTCTATACCATAACTGTTGCTTAAAATTTTGTCGTTGTTCCTGACCTTAAAGCATTTTAAAGTTTCTAGAGACAGGGAAAAAATAAAAGGGACCCAGGTTTTGTCTACGTCCATGTACAGAACAGCCTCTTTTATTGCATCCAGCTCCGGTTCATGAGCTGGAGTCCAGTCAAAGCTGTTCCCAGGCATGTCACTGTACTGGAGAAGAGCAGCGGAGTTGCTCTGGACGGGCTGGCCTTCGGCACCATCTTCCAGATACTCCAGTGTCTCCCATTCCTCCTCCTCCAGCTGAGGCCGGCACTTCTGCAGAGCCTCACGGATCCTGTCCAACCAGTCCTCAGCCTCGTCTCGAGAAGGAGCTCGTAGGTAGAGTTTTTTCCCCAGGAAAACCAGCTCAAAACGGCCATCCAAGTGCGTCAGCGCCAGCGACTCACACCGCAGCAGGGAATAGCTCTCGACACAGATGCGGTCCTCGTGGTCCAGGAAGAGCCGGAGCTCCAGTGGCGACAGCTCGCAGGAAAACTCCTTCCATATCCCCATGGCTCCTCTCCGCTCCAGGCTGCCCAGCTTCAGGAGCCCTCGGAAAGGGTTGGAAAGACCTGGGGGAAAAAGCAGATATCTCAGTTTTTACCAAAGAGGGGCAAGCCAGTGGAGTGAGAAAAGCCAATGGGCTGCTCACAGTGAGCAAACAGAGGCATCACAGCTTTCGTCCTGGTGGACAGTGGGATGGGGCAGGGGTTTATAGGACCATGGTGTCCATCATCTACCCACCTGTATTTGGGGTTTGAGGCTGAGAATGAGTGGGACAGCATAAAGGAAACATGTCCTGCAGGCTGGACAGAGACACGGGGCAGAGGCACCCAGTGCATCCCCACTCCTCCTAAAACACTTCCACCAGAGCCATCATGGGCTCAGCAATGCCAAGGGACGCCGCCCCACTGCCTTCTGCAGCTTCCAGTGCTGCCATCAGCTCAGCAACGGCAAACGGGTGCTTCCCAAACAGCCCCTCAGCCAAAACACCCCCCAGCCCCTGAGCACTGCCCAGCGTAGGTGCTCAGCGAAAGCAGGAGAGAGGAGGGCGGCACGTACCCATCTGCCTGCGGTGCACAACGCTGAAGCCCTTTTGTTCCCGTTCGGGTGACATTTTGGGCTTCCCGCTCTCTGAGGATGGCACCGAGAGTCTTTCCAAGTCCAGAGCACTAATGAGCCCTGGGGCCAGCCCCTCAACAGCCTCCTCGGGCCCAAAGCCGTTGGTGTTGGCCATGCTTTCACTGCTCTCTCCTGGGGAAGGTCTGTAGAAATCATCTTCTGAGATCCAGCTCTTTCTTTTCTGTTCAAAAATAATAATAAATATATTAATTATCAAACTTATCGAGCATCCCGTGCCCCTCAAACACACATGCCCACAGTGACCCCTCCATAGGGGCTGCTCCTGAGCAAACTGAACCCCAGGCAGCGATGCAGGCCATTCCCTCACCGATGGCTCCCCTGCTCCCTCCGATCAGGGAATGTTCCTCAGGACTGGGCTGGCAGCTGGCAAATACTGGGATCATATACTGTCGGTATTATAAACTCCAAAATGGATCAGTTCTCGCCCCCTAAAATCATTGAGGGCTCAGAGGAGAGCACATTCCTGGCAGTAACCACATACAAGATATCTGGTCCATGAAGTATTTCTGATAGAGACTGAGAAACCAGCCCTGCCATGGATGTGTATGAGGTTGCCTGGAGCAGCGGTACCATCCTTGTTCCAGAAAGAATAGAGATGGGGCGAAGTAGAGAGACGATGTCCAGGATGAAAGAGAGATTTATGGCTTACAAGCTGATGCTACAAACACCAGGCCTGATCAGTACAGGAAAAAAGCAAAGCAGGGAAGGTGGAGGAAACCTTTGGCTCCATACATCAGGAGGGGATGAGACCCATAAGCATAAGAAACCTTGTTAAGCTGAAAGAAAACATGGCTGTTAACTTCTTCAGCAGTTTTTCTGGCTACAAGAACTGAGCGAGGTTCTGGAACAACGTCCCCGAACAAACACCAGGAGTGAAATGTGACCCAGCTCAGTGCCTCGGCAAAAGGGAGCAGCTTCCCGAGACCCAGAGCATCCCTGCCAGGGCTGCATCCCACCAGCAACAACTTCTCAACTACCCCACCCTGCTTTCCAAAAGCCTTTCATTCTGAGTAATACATTAAATGACAGCAGAAGAGCTGTCACCACCCTGCAGCGAGGATCACGGGTGGCTTGCGGTGCAGGTCCCAGCGCACAGGCAGGCTTGGCTTACTCCCGGAGCAGGAATGCAGGTCGCTCAGTGAGTCATGCGAAAGCAGGGGGGAATTTCCTGTTGACACCGTATGTTATACATAGATTAGGTCAAACTGGCCCAATGCCATGAGGAAGAAGCGGAAATGGGATAACTGGGAGGGAGCTGAAAGGAGCAGAGACCAAAAAGAGAAACCGTTTGGGGGTGGGGGGTATGAAGTATATCTTAACCTCACCAGGATGGAGATGATGGGAACCAGGATGGAAACAATGGGAACCAGGATGGAAAAATCAGTAACAAATTCGACAGAGGACAAAGATGTTCAAAGAGTTTCCTAAAAGCAAAAGCCAGTGGATCAACATCTCGGCGGCAGCAGGGGAAATCCGCCACCATTTAAGCCAGCCTAAGCACCAGGGAATGCCATCCTGCTCTGGGAACAGATGTGCTGCATGAATATTTTTCCACTGGAAAACTAATTTGTTTCCTGTCCAGTCAACCCTTTTCTCTCCTTTTGTGTGGACCATAAATGAAGAAAAGTCCCAAAGAGAAACATGACTCTCAGGCTGTTTTACTGGCTTGCATACAGCCTGTGGCCAGATTTGTGTGAGAGCTCATCACTCTCCAGATACCGTTAACAAAACAAAAAACTTCCTGTTGCAGCCGCTCTTGGCAAGGGATGACTGGCAGGCCAGGCAGGTTTCAAGAGTTTTGGTGCCTCTTTTACCAGTGAATATGGACTTTGACCCAATTTCCCTGAGGGCAGTGGCATGGACCCAGTTCACAGAATCCCAGAATCATCTGGGCTGGAAAAGCCCTTGAAGCTCCTCCAGTCCATCCATGAACCTCACCCTGACCCTTCCCAACTCCACCAGATCCCTCAGCGCTGGCTCAGCCCGACTCTTCAACCCCTCCAGGGCCCAACAGCCCCTTCTGCACAGAAATCCTTCCTCAGAGCCAGCCTGACCCTGCCCTGGGCAGCTTGAGGCCATTCCCTCGGGCCTGGCGCTGGGGCCTTGGCTCCAGAGACTCATCCCCCCTCTCTGCCCCCTCCTGGCAGGGAGTTGCCGAGGGCCAGGAGGTCTCCCCTCAGCCTCCTCTTCTCCAGACTGAACCCCCCCAGTTCCCCCAGCTGCTCCCCAGCAGACCTGTGCTCCAGACCCTGCCCCAGCTCCGTTGCCCTTCTCTGGCCACGCTCGAGTCATTCAATGGCCTTTTTGGGGTGAGGGGCCCAAAACTGAACCCACTCATTGAGGGGCGGCCTCCCCAGTGCCGAGCCCAGGGCTCAGATCCCTTCCTTGTCCCTGCTGGCCACGCCAGTGCTGACACAAGCCAGGATGCCATTGGCCTCCTTGGCCACCTGGGCACAGTGCTGGCTCCTGTTTAGCCATGGGATTCATTTCCATGGGGTTCAGGAAGATGCTCATGGAGCGGGAAGCATCACTTACAACCAACTTGCTGCCAGGAGAGTGAAAGCAGCACAGAAGATATTTGGGGAAACCAGTGCCTACTCAGAAGCTGTCACCAGTTTTACTTTCATTTTGCATTATATCTGCCGGTCAGGAAGCATAAAAACAAGGAGATGATAGCAAGCGAGCTGCCAGACAACCGTAACACCTACCGGACAACCCAGCAGCGGAGAGAGGAGGTATTCAGCCGTCGGGCTGCGGACTGCCTGGCTCGCCTCGCTGCCACCCACTGTGCCGCTGCCGCCTGTCTCTCCTCTGCTCGGACTGCCTTGCCGCGGGGCCCAAACGCCAGCTGTGCCACCGCCTTGTGGTGCCACATCCCCAGCCCCATCGCCAGCGGCCACCGTGGCACTCAGCCGAGCACAGCCTGGACTGTCGGGGGGCGGCTGCTGGTGAGCTGCTGGGGCTGGGGCGCTGGGCGCTGGGGCCGGGGGGCAGGCAGACTGCCGGGGGGAGCAGCCCAGCGTGCTTTGGACCAGCCGTCCCTCTGGGGCTTCCAGGCTTGGCTTGGCTTTGCTGAACTCAGACAACACCCTTGAAACAGAAAAGTGACCAGGTTAAACAGAGCTATGTTAATCAGAACCTACAAAAAACCTTCTTATTGCAAGTCATAACAGCCCAAAAAAAGGGCTCAGCATCACTGCTCGTCTCCTGCGGGCTGGCAGCACTGTACAGCTGCAAAAAAAACCCCTGTGGTGCTGATTGTGCTAACAGAAAAATGTGTGATTTGTGCCCTACAGAGCAGCAGTTAACCCCACTGCAGGCAAGGACTCCTCCTGGGAAAGGAAGCACTTCCAAATGATGCACATTAATGGGGTTTATTTTGCTTCCGATGGACATCTCCTAATGGAGGGAGAGCGCTGGGTGCTCCCCACAGCCCCAGCCCCATGTGCAGCTCCCAGACACGTATCCAGCCCTGTGCCAAATTTCAAATGTTTTCATAACCATTAATGAGCAATTCTTAGTGGAGCCCAGCCAGACGAGATGCTGTTCCCATGCCCCTGCTTCGTCACCAGCTAGGTCGAATTAAACCAGCCCGAGATTAAAATTCAAAATGACATCTTTCCATCACGAGTTTAATCCAATCATGGCAGGTTCTTCCAGGATCATCATAAGATGCAACATCTTAGAAGCAGGTAATGATGGCATTATCGACGGGGAAGAACAACCACAGCTCTAAAACCTCCTGAAGACCCTTACTGGGAAGTGGGTGACTTCGCCAACCAGCACCCTGAAGCCAGGCTCCTTCAGAGCCAGGTTTTAAATGTGGCAGGGGAAATATTTACTGATTACTCAGAGCTTATATAACCTGCTACAAATCTTTGTGCTGGGCGTTTGGCAGAAATAAATCATGAGGATGAGAAACTAACAACCTCCCTCCACTAAATTATCTGGCAAAGCTGCAAATTATAACCCTTTCCTGTGACCAAACTAATTTCTTTCCCCCTGCAGAAAGCCTCAGAGCATCCCCCCAGCATACGCCAGGGAGATGTGACATTCCTGAAACTGGGGAGCAGCATTTTTCTGACATTTCTGCCTTGGTAAAGAGGACAGACCCATACTTCAGTGGGCAGGAGCTCATTTGCCGTGGCAGCAGGGTCCCAACAAGCCGTGCTGAGCATTTCTTTTTACCCTTCAGGCTCTTTCCAGGAGAAAAAAAATAGCTTGTTAAAGAGAAACAGGGGAGAAAGCCTTCCTGCCCATAGAGACAAAATAAATGACGACCTGGGAGCGGATTAAAAATCCCTTTGAAGAGGAGATCTGGGAAAAGACTCACTCTTGCAGCGACCTGTCCAGGTCCTCGGTGGTGGCCGTCCCCAGGGCGGAGTCACAGGAGAGCGGCTCCTCGCTGCGCTCCGGGCTGCGGGTGCAGTGAGCGGGGAGGACGCTGTCGGAGCCCAGGCTGGAGGAGAGCTGGGACGAGCTTGTGGTGTTAAGGCTCAGTGAGGACGATGTCAGCTTGATTTTGCTGCTGGCTTTGCCAATGGGTAGGACGGAAGGTGGAATCTCTATCTCATCTGATCCTGATGACTGGGAGATCGAACCCAGCGAGGCTTTTCTGTGGGGTTCGGATGTCGACGTGAGAGGCTCCAACAGCTCCGAAACAGGACACAGACCAGACAGGGACAGAGGGGTGACAGTCCACTCGTTCAAAACTGCTGATTTATAGGAGAGCTCGAAGGTTAAGGATGATAAGCCCTGCAAGTAGCTAAGGAGAAACTCACACTCTTCAGCATCTAGGAGCAGAGCAGTCGCCTGGTAGTATTCGGGCAGCCGGGACCTCTCCCGCAGCAGCAGATTCAAGTAACACTCCACGAGGCCATCATTCAAAGCCAGCCTCAGCCAGGCTCGGCAGCGGCCAACGTCCGTATTGATAAAGATGAGTTGTTCCAGCTCTGAGACAATATTTCTGGGGAAAGCGAGAGAAAGAACAGAAAAGGACATGAGTGGTTCTGGTTTCAGTCCATCACAGGGTGCAGGAGGGGCAGATTCCCCACCAGGAACTGCCCAATCTGCTCTGCTATGGAGAGCTGGGACAAAAAAGGCTGTGGAAAATCTCTTTCCTTCATGGAAAACATTCTTTATCATGAAGGAAAAAGAGGTCCTGAATACCCCAAAGCTAAATACGTTGGTAACGACCCCAGGCATCCCTGGGGTGCCTTTGGGTGCTCCTCCTCTCTCTGGCTGAAGGCATCTCCCACACGTCGCTCACCCTGGAACAAGGATGCTGAGGGAGAAATTCCCGTTATCCCTGCACACTGGTGGGGCTTGCTCTGGTTGGGTACTCCTTGGTGACAACTGCGTGTCTAAATCCCAGCTTCCAATTTAAAAATCATCCAAAACACAGTGAAAACTGCTGCAGCAGCCCCCCAGAAAAGGGTGGTTCATGTTGAGCTCCTCAAGCAATCTCAGCCTCCTGACTTCAACCATTTTCCCCCAAAATCCAACAGTGACACTGCCCTCCCTCACCCTCTCTGTCCCCAGCTCATGTCAGCACTGCTGATGCTACGAAAAAGAGCAAAAGTTTTGTAATTTTTTTTTTAAAATCTGTCTCTCAAGAAGAAAGAAAAAAAAATCTTCAAAGGGCACAAAAATATCCCCCGTAGCATGTGAAAGTGTTATTTTCATCTGCTCTTTCATAATTTAAGAGTTGATGATGGAGTTAGATGAGGCTTTCAAAACTATTTGTGTGTGGGCTGTTGTTTAGTGTGGGAGGACTCTGCTTAGGGAGTGGCTCAGAAAAACCCCAGCAAATAATGACAGTTACCCAGGCGAGACCTCCTCAAAGGCTGGTCGGGACATGGGGAAATGGAGGCCAACCATCCCCAGCTGATCCAGGTTAGAAGAGAGACCAGACCCCTGCGCCGTACGCCAGCATAGTCACGGGGGCCCCACCGGGGACACGGAGTCCCCATATACAGCCTGGGACCCAAAAATAAATAAGAAAGGGGTGTGCCCTCAGCTGGCAGCAGCATTTAATTCCTCAACTGTTTGGGGACATCAGCCCATGGCTAAACGGCACTTTACCCCTTGTCCAGGCTGTGGGGGGCTGTGGTGGGTGCCCATCCTGCATGGCTTGGGTGATCTCCCAGCAGTGCTAGGCAGCCCCAGCCCCCCTGAGACACCCTGAGAGTTCAAGTCTCCCCCCTGACTGAAGGGACCGAGCACAGAGGATGAGAGGAGAGACGTACCTTTCCATCAAGCCATCCTTCTGCTTGCCATTCCCTGAGTTTTGTAGCTTTTGCACTAAAGAAAGGGGATAAACCTGAGTGTGCAAACACCTTTTGGCAGGGATGGGCACTCACCGATGGGTGATGCTCTTCAGCAGACCCCAAAAGACCGGCTGGGGAAGGGGTCCCCGACCCCCTGCTTTCTTCCCTTTCCCCCCACTCTCTGTCTTTATGTGCTTCGCCTTCAGCCCATGCACAAAAACGGCTTCCAGAGCGCTGCAGAGGGTGTTTGCATTCCCATCGTCACTGGTTACAACGGCATCTGAGGTCACGTACTGCTTCTGCAACGCCTTGATGGCATTCACCAGTTGCTTCTTGATCAGCTGTGAGACAGAAGGTACGTGCTCGGATTATAAAAAGTAAGTATTAGGAAAGCTTTCATATAAAAGGGCTCAAAACCTGCAAGGCTCATCCAGAGTGAAGCACCATGCAGCTCCTGCTTTCTGTGGATGTTAGGGAGCACGACAGCTGAACTGGTCAAGCTGGGGACTCATGCTCTTGGCATCACAGTTCATCTGGCTTTTTTTTTTTTTTTTAAATGAGTAATTTATGCAATTTTAGCTGGTGTTTTGGAGCCCACTGGGTTGCTGGGGTTGCCTTTAGAGCGTGCAGTGCTTCCTCTGCTGACACCAAACTGCTGAAGAGAATGAGGAGAAAAGAAATTGGCTCTCTCCAGGCGTTTGCTCGGGAGAAACACAAGGATTAAATCAGCATGGGTAAGAAACTCGAAACTCGAAGGAGGTAACCCATAACAAGGGCTGCAATACTACTTGAACTCGTGCAGATCAGCCCAAGCAGCATGTGACGCGCTAACAAGTCCTGCCAGCAGAAATCAAAGCCATCGATCTCGCTCTCGGCAGCTCGTCTGTGTTGGTTAACCCACAGGCACTGCTGGGGATGGGCTCCCCCAAAAGGTGCTTTTGGAAGGACGGCTGGGGTTTAACTACTGCCTTTGGAGAGACTCAGTGGGCTCTGAACCTGGAATGTGGCAATTTTACCTTCCAGCAGCTTTGCTTCCCTCGTTGTCACACCAGTTGAAAAGAAGCAAGTTCAGTGAATTTAGCAATTTTACGCTGGTGGAGAGGATTTTTTTTTTTTTAACGCAGCTGAGTCCGGATGTCTCAATCAACCTTATTTAAACCGAAAGTTGCACTTCCCAGCAGGCGTTTGGCAAACACTGCAAATTCAGCCGGGACCTCATCAAACAATTCATGTTTTGGCATCAATCACGCAGCATTCAAGGCGAATGCTGAATGGCATCAGCCTCTGCGACTGGGGCAGGGCAGATTTTGACTCAAGCCTGGGTTGGCTGCACAAACCCATATTAAATTTCCAGCCTGGGATATTTTTTTTCAGCATCTAAATAAGATTTCCAGCAGCTGTAGTTCAAGGACAGCAGCCGGGGGAACAGGCACCTTCCCCCTGCCCGTACCAGGGGATGCCTCTTGCAGCAGGAGCTGCTTTCCAGCTGCCCTGCAGATCTGCTGGCATAAGCAACCCGCCTGCAAGCAGCAACCGTGGGCTAACAGGATTAAAGAGTGCAAATGATTTTATCTGTCATGCATGAATTAATTCTGATGTAGGATGAATTAAACACCCGTTTGAACTGCCAGGTTTGAACTTTGCTCATTAAACGTGTTTAGACTCCCAAAGCTGGGTAAAGAAACCCAAATATAGCGAGCAGCAATGCTCCTTCACCCAGATATCAGGGCTGAGCACCCTCCCCTGCCCCACGCTGGGTCACGCCACGAGGGGCAAAAGCCCAAGGTAGAGTCTGGTGTGATTTAACTCAGAGCCCCCCTGTTTGCTTCAATCCCCCTGCACCAGAGAAACTATCAAGGACTCTTGTCAGAAAGCCCATCACCCTTTGCTGTATAAATCATCCCAATCCCAGCTGGCAACAATGACAAGTCCTACCATGTCCCCGCCGGTAACTGGAGTTGCACTGGGGAGTAACTGGAGCTACTTGGGCAGGTTGAGGGCGTCTCACTCACCTGTATGGCTTCCTTGGGGTCATCAGCGTGGCTCGAATGCATCTCAGCTGCTGCTGCTGCTCCCCACGCCGGGCGCTGCCTTCACATGTCACCTTTGGGACAAGGAGGAGGAGCACGTCTGAGCACCCGTTTGGATTAGATCTGACTCACCTGCCGTGCGAAGGGCGCCCACCGCCACGCAGGAGGTAGGGATCGTGCACCCTGGCCAGGCCGGTGTTGGCTTCGAGCTGGGACCCACCTACGACCACATCGCAACACGCCACGCTTCCCGGGGAGCAGGAGAGTTTCAGGCAAAACATAGCATGGCCAAGAGACCGAGGGAGTAATTAACCCTTGCAAGAAGGACTAATTAACCCTTGTAAGCTGCCTGCAGGCAACCCTAAACCTCAGTGTGACGCTGGGGCGAAGCCAGCAGTGATGCACACAGGGCCAGGGACTGCTTCCCTTCTGTGTCCACATCACTTGCAATGCCCAGGCGCCAGCAAGGGCATCAAAACAGGCACTTAGTGAGCCTGAATGACAGCACTCAAAAACCACGTGCACAGCATTAACGTGGCCCAGACAGATGGGTGTCACCCCCCAACAGACCCTGGAGAGCTGACGGCAGCTCTTCTTTCCAGTATTCGCCAGAGCCAAACCCAGCTGGAATGGACCCTCTCAGAGGTGCCCGGGCACTTTCCCCGATGGCACAGAGGAAGGAAGATGCAGGTTCTCCATCAGGTCTCCAGTTGCTCCATTCAGATGAACCCCAGGATGTTCCCGCTCCTGGAGGTGTAGATGGCAGGTCTGCTCTGCTGCAGCTGGTTTTGGTGAGAGAAAAATCAACCCTCCTGCTATGGGAAACCCTGCAAAAACCAGAGCTGAGCAGGCAGGGCAGCCTTGTCGGGGTCATCTGCAACTGCAGAGTGTTTGCAGACAACAAGGGACCTTTGACTTTTGGCCTCCTGCCCTGTTCTTCAGAGGTGTCTGCTGAAACCAAGCTGTGCCTGGAGGCTCTGCGAGCAGAGCACGCAGCTGTCAGTGAGATGGTGGCTGCAGGGCTGCATCCCTGTGCAAACAGTGTGTCCTGGTGCTGAGAGCTGCTCCAGCACCAGTAAAGCTTTCGGAGGATGTGAGAGATTGAAGAAGAAATGTATTCCCTTGAGGTGGAATCCCTTGTCATCAAAATGGAGAAAGCCCAGCAGTTGACCGCATGATTGGGGTATGCCCACAGCAGACAACGGGCATGGTATGGCATCTATACTCCAGAGTTTATTTCCAAGACAACACCAAAACCCCAGAACTTTCCCCAAGCAGAACTGATGGCCTCAACCTGCCCCTCTCTCTGCACCATGAGCCATCAAACCAGGGCACAAACATGGTTTGCAGACCAGTTCCTACACAGCCACGGCCAGTCCCCAAGGCAGCGGTGGTCCAAATCCAGAGCAGCCCAAATCTGGAGCAGCCTAAACCCAGGACAGCCTGAATCCAGAGCAGCCCAGACCTAGAGCACCCCGTGCATGTACTGCAGCAGCCGGTCCTGCTCAGACCAGCAGGTCAGGAACTCTTTGGGGACAAACCCTGGATTGATCCTCAGTGTTTTCAGAGTTCGTAGACAATTTCATAAAAAAGGAAACTGTTTTCGCCATGACTTGTCATAAGATTTCCTTTCTTCGGGTTGCAACACAGAAATGGGGGAGCGCAGTGATTACAGGAACATTAACCTCTGGCTTAGAGGCTTGAGGTGCTGCTGGGGGTTTTTGGGGGGAGCGAGGGGACACCTAAGTGACCGCAGAGAACCATCCCACCTCTGCCTCTGCGGAAGGTTCAGACTCCTCGGGGCCGGGCAGCCTCTGCCGCCTTCCCTGCCACCTCCTGCATGCGCCCTGCAAACAAGCGATACATCCCACCCAAGACACATTCAGGGTGCAAGAGCTTGGGGTGGGAGACGTAAGCTGTGAGCTCAGGGGGACATTTCTCATGCCCAGAGAGGCAGCGCGGGTGTTTCAGCTCCAGGACTGCACCCACCCTCTGTGCTCTCGGTGTCAGCCACCCCGGCATCCCCAGACGGTGACAGGGGAGGGGGTGACAGCGGTGTTTTTACAAAGACCTCGTCCAGATTTTACTAAGTGAGTGGTATTCCCCAAAACACAGGCTCCTTTGTCAGCATCACCTCTCCCAGCGTCTGCAGGAGGCAAGACACGGAGGAGGACACCTGCCATCTTCACCACGGGACTCTCCACTCCCACCACGACCAGTTCAACCAGTTTATTCCAGCGCCGTGAATCTACACGGCTCCGCTTCTGTTGGGATAGCATTTTCCTGAATAACGAGCGCAACGAACAAGCTCCGAGGAGGATTTCACCTAACACAAGTCTTCAGTGAAACATGGGGAACTTGGACCAGCGGCCCGGGCGCCGGGCTAACCGGCTCTAGAAGGACCTGAAGGGTTCCAGAGCACTTCCAGGCAGATCCTGGAAAGTCACGGCTGTTCCTGGTGATCTTGAAAGGGTAAGAGATGGGATGGATGTGCAAACGCAGAGTCAAGCCCTTCTACAGCAGAAAAAACCCCCACACCGTTTCCCAGTAGTCACCACCCCGAAAGCTGTGCAGAGTACCACAGCTTGAGTAAAACAAAGAAAATAAACCAAGTGAGAAATAAAAACAGCCAGCAAGCTGGTGTGGTTAAACCTACCGAGGAAGAGAGTCGCCGGTGCGAGAGCAGAGCTGTTTATTTACCAAACTGCTGCAAAACAGCCAAATTCTTTAGGAACGGCTTGTTCAAACCAAGCCTTATGCCAGGAGAGGCAGAGACCCCGTCCCAGAGCTTGGCTCTTCAGTCTCCCAACAAGCGACGCTCTCCGAGTTATAAATAAACAGCAGGTCACCGCTCGTGCTTTGCAAACGGAAAACAACAGCCCACGACGACGGCGTGAACTGGTGACTCAAGGCCTGGACGCGGAGCCAGTCATTTTCCAAGCACGAGTGCTGTGCCAGTCACCCTCCACCCCAGGGAAATGAGGGCTCTGAGGGACGGTGGCTCCAAGGGCTGGTGTCGGGACAGCCCTCTCCTCCTACACAGCTCCTGCCTTCCCCTCGGAGCCCGCGCACGCCCAGCCACACTCAGCACACAGCCCGACCCCGAGCAGAAGCAGCACAGAGGCAGAGAAGCCAGCTGGCACGGCCAGCGGATTGGCTTGTTGGAGGATAAAACCCCTCGGAGATAATTCGGTGAGGGTTAAGGCAGGGTTAGAGCCCAGCCCCAGCTGGCAGCAGCAGCAGGACCCTTGCATCCAACTTCAGGTCCTTCCCTGCGCCCAGCCTGGCCGCCATCCTGCTACAGGAGCGCAGGCATCGCGTCAAGGACAGGGACCAACGTGCCACCCTCTTCCCCGCGGAAACGTCCTCCTTGCAGTTGACAAACCTGATGGGGGACGGAGAAGAGTCGCTGCTGACGAAGCCCTCCAACTTCTGCCCCCGCGCACCGAGTAGGACGCCCAGGAGCGGCTGGGGGAGGAAAACCAGCCGCTGAGCTCCCAGCACCGCCCTTGATGGCAAGATTGTGTTTCTCAAGCACTCACAAATGAATATTTCATTCAGGCTGTCACCTGCTTCTGTACCTGACAACAACTTGCCAGGGCCGCAGGTAAAGCTGGGGTTGATGCTCCTCAGCGTTGCCGCCGACAGAGCCACGGCGCAAGGCCGAGGCGGGTTGTGAAACCCCCAGCGCGTGGCAGCGAGATGTCCCCGTATTTATACTCCCGATTTTTGCATCGCTTCGGGTTGCCAGCGCAGGAGTTTCCGGGTCGATTCGGTGGCCATCTGACACGGCGGGCGGCTCGCATCCCTTGATGGTGGCACTGGGGGTCACTGGAAGGAAGGCGACAAGAAATGAGCTCTTTAAACTCCCCGTTTTCTGTTGGACACAAGAACTACCCAGAGCTCGTCCACAGCCGCTTGTTTTAAGTGACAAAATGTCATTTATAGGGAACGCCACGCGCAATAAATCAGAGGAAGCTGAGGATCCCGCGGGGGCCTCTGCGCGGGGCGGGTCAGATGTGTAT